CCACTGGCAAAGGAAGAAGACCAACAAAGATGGTGCTCTGGAAACCAAAGGGTTACAAGGAAGGGGGAAGGAGGAGGGATCCACTGTGTCGAATGCTGCCAGCAGGTTAGGGAGGAGCAGAAGTGAGAACTGACCACAGAATTCTACAGGGTGGACGGCACCATTGAGCTTGATAAGAGTAGTTCTGAGGCGTGAGGAGCCCAAAGGCCCACCTGGAATGGACTCGGAGAGAATGGGAGGAAAGACAGGAAGGTGAGCGAGGGTAGTTAACAGCTTCCAGAGTTTTTCCTTAAAGGGCAGCAGAAAAATCTGGAGATGTAGGCCCTTCAATCAAAGGAGTGTTTTTAGGGTGGGAAACTTTGAATTTGGATATGCTGAACTGAATGGGCCAGGAGGGGGGTAACGGCAACAGTGATGGGTTGGGGTACACTGGGTAGGTGAGGATGGACGGGACCCAGCACCGTCCGACAGGAGCCCAGCTGCTTTTAGCTCAGCAGCTGAGTGATGCAGTTGGCAGGGTCTGGGACAGAGTCCTGCTGAAAGCCTGAAGGGCTCAGGGGGCAGCCCTGGGGAACCCCGTGTCCATGAGTCACCCGATGGACCTCACGGGCCCACCCATAGCGGAGCTGCTGTTCCCCTGCCCTGGATTCCAGTTCCGAGCTGAGGCTGGGCTCCCCTCTAAACACTGCCCCCTCCCCCAATCCCTTGCTCCCTGCCCACGGCCAGCTGTCTGCATCCCCACCCTGGCTGGGCCTGGCCTCCCTGGCTCTTGTGTCTGAGCTCATCATTCCCTGCAGACCTGAGCACCAACCTCCCCAACCCTCAAGGCTCGAATGACCACTTTCCGCAGCCGGGTGGTTCTTACTCATTCCAGTCTCTCCTTCTTCCACACCAGCCCTTGGGGCTAAGCTCCCAGCTTTCCTTGCAACAAGTGAACTTGAGTTAGGACAATATAGGCATTACCCTCAATGAACAATATAACTTTGTATGTGTGAAAACAACATTCCCTAACAAAGGAGCCCTTCTAAAACAACCAAGGCAAATGCATAGGTGCTGGGTGAGAGCGCCAACACATTCCTGATGGGCACTCCCAGAGCCCGGCTGGAAAATGCAGGCTTTGTTTGGGTGTGGAAGTGATGGGGAATGAAGGGAGGGGGCTGTGTGCCAGGAAATGAATGCAATAAATGGGGACTGATGCAGAGTGTGCACAAAGCAAGGGCCCAGGACCCAAGTCAAGAGGGGTCCTGGAATGAACTTTAGGGCCAATGTTATTCCAGAAGTAACACGGAGAACTAGGGAGTGTGGGGGCAGCTGGGAGGTTAGTTAAAAGAGAGGGTTGAGTACCGCCTCTGAAGGCCGGAGAGGACTTGGCAGTGGGCAGAGCTCAGCCGGGCACAGAGGGTGACGTACAGCAGGGGCAGGTCAGACTGCAGGTCCAGGAAGATCAGCCTGTGTTTTAACTGGATTCTGGGGCTCAGGCCACCATAGGAGGCCCTGGGGCTGAAGAACCACAATTAAAGACACTCAATGGCTCCCACATGGGAGTCTGGAGAGAGGGAGACCAGAGACAGGGCACAGGGAGTAAGGGAGATCACACCCGAGCCATGAACCACTTCGTGTGGACACCAGAATTTGTGGGCTCACTGGAAGGTGGGGATCAGGAGCAAAGGCACCCAAAATGATGCTAAGGTTTTGAGCGTGAAGGTCTGGGTACACCATCTGCGGTCTGGACATAGAAGAAGATTCTGTTGGCCGCTTGGTTAGCACGATGCTGAAATCGAGGGGACCAGGAAGCCTCAGAAGCAAGGGGATATAGATGGAGACCCAGATTTAGCGTTGCTGGCTCAGGGACAAGGTTTGAAGAAGAGAGAGGTGATGTTGATGAGAGAGAACTCTCAAGGCCAAAAGAAATCAGTCCGACTGACCAGGTACGTGTGTCACCATTACATCCAGCGACCGAGCTACTGTCCCTCTCCACCTGCCCCAGTGTCACCCATCTTTGCAGGCCGAGCCCCACCTTGTCCGGGAAGCCCCTTGTGGCTGTCCAGCCCCAGAGGTCCTCACCCGCTGGGAGCATCTCAACACTAGCAGCCCAACCTCAGCACCGGGCCTCTGACGCCACGTGAACCAATCTCCAAGCACCTTGAGGGCAGACCTGCGGCTTACCCCCTTGACTCTTGGTGTCTTCTGGCACAGAGCACCCAGAAGGCATTGAATAAATGGCTCCTGCTTGATGGATTGATTACTTGATTGATTGCTGGGTTGGAGGTCAGGACGAAAGGTAGGGAGACTAGTGAGTAGCTTGACTAGTGACAAAAAGACTCACGAGCGTGGGGCTCATGGCATCTACTGCTTGTGTCTGGCTTCTCGATTTATGGCTATGAATGAGATCTACATGGATCAACAAGGGGACATCTCAACAATACTGTTGAGTAAAAACAAGTTGCAGACATATGTTAAATCCACCAGAATAGTCAGCGCTGTCTACAAAATATCTCTGCCCTCCGCCCATGTGCACCTCTCAACCCAAATATCTGGCCCCCCATGTGCACAGTAGGACCAGTAGGCCTGCAGTCCTCCACTCTCACTGGGGTTGGGTGAGGCTGCAGGGCTTGCCCTGGCCAGTATAATGGAAGTAGAAACTTCTGGGTGGAAGCTATATGAGCCGTTGCACAACTGACAAATTTTCATCTTTCTCAGTCTCTGTCGCCTTAGATCTCTTAGTGACTCCTAGGAACAGGAGCCGACTGCAGACCCTTGTCAAACATGTCCTGGAGTGCTATGCCTGCTTGCTGTGTTAAAAAAAGAAGAAAGAAAAAAGGAGTAAATGAGTCTAAGACAAAGAGGCCTCAGATGGGTGTGCTTGAAGGGCATATTCAGTTTCTGGGTGGGGGATACCCTCAGCGGTTTGAGGGGGATAAGGGGTTTCGTGGTTGGTTGACTGGATGGTCGCATCCTTGGCCCCATCCATGAAAGGCTGGCGGTGCCTCTAGTTACGTGACAACCAAACACAATTCTCCTCCAAGTTTCCAAGCACTCCTGGTGACAGATACCAGCCCCCAGGTAACCACAACTAGAGAGGGGTCATCAAAAGCAGGGGTGGGAGGTGCAGCAGGAGCCCAGATGGGACAGCTGGGCTGCAGGAGAAGAGAATCTGATGGGTGACATTACATGGCCCTGAAGTATTCCAACTGGCCGTGGCAAGCAGAGATTCTGGAACAGAGCAGGTGGGACTGACTAAGCGGCAACCTGGGCGGGACAGTGGGGCGGGAGGTGTGTGTGTGTGTGTGTGTGTGTGTGTGTGTGTGTGTGTATGTGCGTGTGCACAACGCCCAGGCTGTAGGAAGAGAAGGGGACTCAGGTGTAACCTTTGGCATTGCAGCTGAAGGCAGACCATGAGGCAGAGCTTCTAGCAGGTGCCTGGAGCTGTGAACTCTCTGGGGGGGGGGGGCGGGTAGAGGCTCCTGCCAGCTGCCCTGCCCCCGCTCAGGCCTCCCAGGGAAACCAGGGCAGCAGAGGGCCGCCTGGAGGACCCGATCTCAGTCTGCAGGCAGCGGCTTCTCAGGGAAGAAGCAAACCTCTTCCTGCACACCAGCTATCTCTCAGCAGCCCCTCGGGGCCTCACAGACAGTTCTGGAAGCACGAGGAGAAGACGCAAGTCGCCGTGACCAGACGCATCAATCCTTGGACGAAGTCTTAGGGGGCCTCTTACGTAGCCAGTGATGTGAGAACACGGAGACACAAGAGGGCGCTCCGTTCAAATAGCAGGAGACAAACTGGTCCTTCTCCAGTTGGAAAGAGGGTTCTATTTTGAAAAACCTTTGGTCTAGTGGTTCTCAATGGAGCCGCTACTGGAACTCCCCTGTAGGGGATGCTTCTCCCCTAGACGGTGGTATCCCCACCATTGCATTTTTTTTTGCCATTCTGACTCCCTCCCACGTCACTGTGACAACCCAACTCCCCAAGTTTTGTTGCCAAACGCCCCTGCTCCTGAGAGCCCAAGCTCCTCACTGCCCCCAGAAGATGCCCTCTGGTGGCTCTGGGGAGCTTGGCCGCCTCTGCTGTCCCCAACTAACAGAGGAATTCGGCACCTCCCGCTTTGACCTTGTGAGTCAGGCACCCGCAGGCGCTGGAGGATGGCAGGCCCCCCCAGTGACACCCCATGTTGGCTGGTGCTCACGAGGACTATCCTCCGCAGGAGGGAGGTTTCCCCTCGTGCTATCGCCCCTTGGGACTGGGTAGGACGAGGGCTGCATTGATCACACTGGGGACACAGACACAGGACCCTGAGACAGACACCACAGGCTCTGCTTACAGACACCCACATCCCAGGGAGCAAACACGTGGTCACACAGAACACAGCTTGCACAAAACTTCCACAAAGCAAGTCCGAAACAAGGCACCCTGCTGAAGCCCAGAGGGCCCCCCAGAGTGAGGTGTCAGATGTTCAGATCATTAGGTTTCCAAAGATAAGCGCCAACGGTAAAAATCCAGGGATGATATTCCAAATAGTTACCGACCAACGAGCCTGGGACCGGTGTAGACTGCTGGAGTGGGCAGCACATTCATCATGAGCCCTGCAGACAGCCTGAGGGCAGGGCCCGAGTCCCCTGTGGGCCACCAGGTACGTCCATGCAGCCGCTTGGGCAGGACAGAGGTGATTCTTTGGGAAACGTGCACCAAGGTAGGTGGCAGTCCGGACAGGACCGAGGGGGCACACTATCCGCCCCAATGCAGCGACTAGAAACCCGCGGCCAACGTCTGAGGCAAGGAGAGGCTGAAGAAAGACCCAGACTGCTGCAGGCCTCAGCTTCCCATCCCCCGCCAGGGAGCCCGGTGCTCCGAACACAGATGGCCTGCGAGTCCCACGAAGGTGGCATCTGCCGGAAAGCACCTGCGGGCCCTGCCCGGGGAGGCGCTGCCCACCTCGGCGCAGACGGAACCGGCTCTCACTCCACAGGAAGCAGAAGCAAACATTGCAAACCAAACATGATTCTTACCCTCCTTCGAAGATTTTGATCCTCGCTGGCTCCCCTCTTTTGGAGGCAGGAGCGTCCTCCTCCGGCTTGCCTCGCTTCTCTTCTTCCTTCTGCACTCTAGCTAGATCTTTCTGGCCTTCCGAGGAAACCAGCGAAGGGAGGTGAACCTGGCCCACCGCAGGAACAACAAAATCACTGCTGTTAAACGGAAGCAATGGGACGGCGCCCTTGATGGCACTGCACGCTTACTCTCCGCTGTGCCTGGCTCACGTACTCTTCCCTCTACCCTGTGAAGAGGGGCTAGAAGCTGCGGTTTGCGGAAGGAAGGAAACGGACCCCCGGACAGGTGAAGACCCTCCTGCAAGGTCACCTGGTTAGCTGGTGTCGAACGGGGGCTCCCACCAGGACTTTCTCCTGGGAGGACCAGGCCTTCCCACAAAAGCTTGGTTTGCTTTCCCTTTCACACTAGCCTAGAACCTTCTGGGGACAGGTCCTCATCTTGGGTGTCCTTGGTCACACCAGCACCCAAAGCAGAGCCTGCCTCAGAGAAGCTAGTGTGAGTGATGTTGCACACATAAATGAAGACTCCACCCCGGAGATTAACTGCTCCAATTCTGTCTTATAGATCAAGAAATCAAGGTCACTCTGCAAGTGAAGGGCACTGCTGGGAGCAGAGTGCGGGTCTCCTGAGGGCCCTGACCAAGGCTGTGCGTCTCACTGATGGCCACGCACCTGGACGGGGGTGTGCAGGCTCTGGCCGGTAGTCTAAGGGAACCCATGCTCTACAGAGCTATGGGCCTCAGTGGTGAGAGCTGGCTCAGGAGAGCTAGCTCATGCTGCCATCTAGACCCTCTGATGGCAGCAGCAAGTGGGCCCACCTTGAATAGGGAGCTGTGATGCAGGGCTGGGGGCTGGGGCCAACAGTGCCCAGAGTGAGATTCTCATCCTACTTCATACCACTGCCAATTAAGGTCACGTTTACAGCCAGTGGGAGAAAGCAACCATGTCTCCCGGTGCAGAGATAATCTAAACCACCTGTTCCTGTGCCAGCCGTCATGCCTGTCCCTATGCAGGTGGGTTGGGCTGAGCAGAAAGGTAGCTGGTTGGGAATCAGGGGATCTGATTCTTAGCACCACATAGGCCACTACTGCATGCTGAGCCACCCTTGTGTGGATTGTTTCTCTCTCTGGGATTAGTTCATCTCTGAGGGGATTTAGATCATCTTGAAGATACATTCCAGGGCCAACATCTATGACTCAGTGCCCTCCCACCCCACTCACACAGTTTCTTCAGAATTGGAGATGAGGAGTGCAAACCAAGTGAGGCCACGGATTGCTGCCTTGGCAGGAGGCAATGGACTTTGTGCAATGCCCATGGATTTCCAGAGCATGCTGTTTTTACTATCTCATCTGGGCCATCTGTGGAATGACCAAGGGGCCTTCCATAGGCTGATGGATGACTTCTCTCTCACCACCAGTTGTGATGTCTGGGCGAAGCTAGATGAGGCTGGTTTGGGCAGCAACACACTACTCTATCAGGAAACGCTGTTGGAACTGAGCGGGGGGCGGGGTGGGGGACCAGGAATCCATGTTGGCTTTTAAAGACAATAATACGATTGTCTTTGAACTGTAAAAATGATTATTGAGTGCCAGCGTGCCAAGCACTATTCTAAACACACTTTGTATATTTTAACTCAGTTATCTTCACAGCCCTGTGAGCTATTTTTAATATCTCTAGTTTATAGATGAGGAAACCAAGGCACAGATGGAAGAGGTAACTGGCCCAAGGTCACACTGCTAGTAAGTGAGGTAGTGGGATTCAAATCGGGGTAATTTGGCACTGGAGTCCTGGTTTTCAATCTGTTTGCAGTATGTGGTTGTCAAAAATGATCCCCAAGGAGAAAAAAAAGCAGGAGAAATTGAGGAATGGAATGTGGCTTCAAAGTGATGTTTGTAATAAGCTTCGGTTTCTTCAGGCCTTATATATATTTTTAAAGATTTTATTTATTTATTCATAGACACACACACACACACACACACAGAGAGAGAGAGAGAGAGAGAGAGAGAGGGGCAGAGACACAGGCAGAGGGAGAAGCAGGCTCCATGCAACAAGCCTGATGTGGGACTCGATCCCGGGTCTCCAGGATCACACCCCGGGCTGCAGGCAGCGCTAAACCGCTGCGCCACCAGGGCTGCCCTCTGCAGGCCTTATATACGGGAAAAAACTACCTGTGACCCAACTCAATCCTGATAGAGTGGCCTAGAACTACATGAAGACAGTTTGGAAGATTTTTAAAATGCTAAGATAGCCTAAAGGGCCTTTTCAGAGCTACTAACAAACAATGGAAGCAAGATGACAAACTCAGTAAAGAACTTTTTAAAGGCACTGCCCAAAGATGGGTTGTGTTGTACCAAGAGGTAGTGAGCTGGAGATATGCAAGCAGAGGCCAGAGATAGAGGCATGTATGTGGGAAGGCATAAAGCCATGGGCCATGCAGTTACATTAAGGCACTGGATTGGTGCACTTCTGGTAGGAAACAGGCCAGTGAATCGAATGAATTATTCCAAGGAAAAGTTTGTAGTTTCAGCTCATTTTATGAAAGCAGTATTTTATTTTATTTTGAAAGCAGTATTTTAAACAAAAGATTCCCCAACTCGATTAAGCTAAATTAACTCTTCCTTTTTTTAAAATGGCCTTTTAGTGTATAGTCATTAAAACAGAGAGGCAGTCCAGATCATTTGAAAGGGCTTCAAGGCGAGGTCTAGGTTTGAATCCGGGCTCTGCCATTTATTAACTGTGCACCCGTGTACAGGCTACCTAACATCTCTGTGAATTGGCCTTCTCCTCCATAAAATGGTGATATAGTACCCTTTCAAGGTGGTTGTGAGGATGAAAGTAAAGTTCCACATTACTTGGCCCACAGCAGGGGCACAAGAAGTCATAAGTGTGAATATAATTACAACAGCATCTTGGGCATAGTTGTCGTCAGTAGGACACAATGGAGAGCACATTGGTCATGATGTTTACAGCAAAAGTGGACATCTCGTCTAGGGATGCCTGTAGACTGACAAGGATATTCAGAGAACATATCTGGGAAACGATCCTGTGAAGAGTCAGCTGAGCTAAGGACAAATTCTGAGCACAAAAGGCACTTGGTGATAAAAGGGAGGAAACGAATATAGGAGGTGCCCCTGAACACAGCTTTGTTCATGTATCTGGGATATGAATTTAGTTTAGTGGATTTATGCCTGATTTGATCAAAGTGTCTGGTCTGAAAACACATTGTTGAACATTTTAAAATCTGCAGTCACTTTTACGGTTTTCTTTCCTCAAATAATTGCAAGAAGAAAAATCAATCATCTGGAGTCAGACAGGTCTAAGTTCAAATTCTGGGTGTGCCCATTACCTGCTGTGTGACCTTGACATCTCTCACCCTCTGACCCTTGGGTCTCTCCTCTATAAATGGGAGATGGTACTGCTGCCTCGCAGGTAGGGACAAGCACTTAATGGATTTGGCACAGTACTTGGCACACTGAGGCTACTCAAGCAACAAGCTCAACTCTTACTCCACAAACACCAAGTCGGCATAACATCGCATGACCTGGATGCCCAGGCCAGCCTTCTCAGGGTACGGGGGTGTCATGTACCTGAAGCAAAGCTGGAATGATCAAATTTCAAACTTCCTGAACTTGCAGGGGTCAGTTACTCTATGGCTCCTGGAGGCCTCAGGTCAGAGGCCCTGGAGGGTGCATGTGACAAGCCCTCACTCAGGGCCAGGTGCTCCCACACAGCACAGATGGGTCAGGCTGTGAGTGCTCTTACCCCTACTGGTGATGAAGAACATGGTGGTCGAGCTCTGTGGGCTGTCCCACTCATAGGAGGGAAAGAGTGGGTATTTTGGGAGCTTCTTGTGTCACATTCTAGAAATTCGGGTACGAGAAGATTTTGAGTGGTACCAGAGAATGGAAATAGCAGGTGTGGAGAATAAGAAAAGCAAGAAAAGGCTAACAGAACTTGTGGGGTGGCATAAAATTTTGAAATTGCTGCAGGCTTTCCTATCAGCCAAATTTTCCTACTCAGTCTTTTGGAGAGGTTTTTTTTTTTTTTCATGGCTCAGATGGCATCTTTGATTTTATGATAGCAGCTAAAGGGGATGCAGGATCACCTCAAAGCTCACTTTACTGAGATGTATCTAGTCTAGTGATGTGAGGAACACACTGACAAAGAAACCCAATAAATACATTTTTCCTTCTGAGGTGGCCAGTCACAGTGGACGGAGAGGAAATCTGCCCAGTCATCTGGCTCTAGTTACATAAACGGACCCTGAGGGGGACGTGGCCTTAAAAGCTCAGCAGAGGCTTGCCAACTCAGCGGGAAAAACAAGGCTGACTTACCTCTGTCATGCGGGGCTTGCGGGAGCTGGATGGCACAAGCCTTCCTGTCTCAGGATGCGGAGCTGTGGCCATGGTGTATGTTTCTTTGCTCACCTTCTGCTTAGACCTCAGGAGGGACAAAGCAGCTTTAGTGGAAACCCCTGGAAGGTTGGGGTTGTACAAACTTATGCACCAACCAGCGTAAACAGAGGACCTCCTATCTGCATGCTGGATGTGATTTGGCTTAATGTAGTTTAAATAGCACCAACTGACATTAGTGGTCGTGTGAAGGCTGGGGAACTGCAGTACCTTCTTTGAGTCCGTACCTTCTTGCGGCTTGGCTGGTCTTGGGGACGTTTCTGACAGAGGCAGCGAGCTGGAAGGTGCCAGTGGAGGGAGGTCAGGTTGTTCCTTGGAATCTTCTTTCTTCACACTCAATGGGGGCAGCCCTCTCCGGTGAGGCTTACCAGATGGCTGGGCGTATTCCTTCAAAGCCTCTGAGCCTGGGGCCGTCACATGGGGCAGTGAGGAATGAGGAAGGGGAGTCATTTCCTTGGGGTCCGATGGATCTGAGGATAGGCTGGACACCGTTTCCAGCTCCCTCCTGCCCTGGCCCTGGCTGCCCAAGTGGGATTTCTCTGGCCTCTTGCCATCCTCCGTGCTGGTCAGCACCACGCTGCACGGCTTTACCAGCTCAAGCTTTTCATCTGCCTTGGAAGCCTCCTCTTCCTTCACCCTTTTTTGCTGCTGGGTCTCCATGGTGAGTTCAAGGCTGCCAGCTGGTGAAAGGACGCGTTTGCTCCCCCCCACTGTTGAAGAGCTCCCCTCCAGGCTCAAGACACTCTCTGATGACAGGGAAGTGCCTTTTCTTTCAGGAAATGTCACAGGCACTCTCAAGTATGGAGTCGGGAAACCTCTGTTCTGCTCTTCACTTACCCTGGCCAATCCAGGCCCAACCTCGTACACATCTGTCCCACACACAGTCGTCCCTTTGCATGGGGGCTCCTCGTACTTAGGAAGAGTCACAGTTGCTGAGCTGCCTTGGGACTGGGTGACCAGGATCTGGGAGAGGGTGGTGTACATGGCACTCCCATAGGATGGCATGTTGGTCTGAATGCGGACGGGCACAACCAGGGACACCATGGTGTCTGGACAGGCAGGCAGGGTCAGCGGAGGGGCTGAGGTGGGTGCCGAGCAGCTGGCTGGGGGAGCCACGGGGGGAAGCGGGACGTCACTGCTGTACTCTGTGCTGGGGGAGAGGCCGGTGGTTCCTGTTCCCAGTGGGGCCAGGCTGGTTTTGGTCTGGGGCAGATGGCTTTCCACATCGCCAGGGAGCGGAAGCGGGAACTGGGATTGCAGAGGCAGGAAAAATCCAGAAGAGAGTGCCGACGAGGCAGGGTACGGCACAGGGAGAAACGAAGGGGGCTGCCGAAAGGGGATGCTGGCTGGGTGAGGCATGAGCTGGGGGAGGTGGAGCTGGCCTGGGTGCAGAACAGTAGGCTGGAGAGGAAGTGGCGGGGCTTGAAATAGGGTAGGGGGAAGCGGGGGCATGGAGTACGGTGCAGAGAGGAGGCTGGGCATGGCTTGGGTGGAGAAGAATTCTGAAGACTGTCCTGGCTCATGCTGCAAGAGGTGCTGGAAGGAGAAAAGAGAGACGGGCGGGGGCAGGTACGGCTTCTCGTGCAAGGGGAGCTGGGCGATGGGGTGATGGAACACCTGCAGGGCTTCTGTGTAGGGTGGAGTGGACCCCAGCGGGGGTCTGTCCTGCACCTGGCTCTTGCCTCCCGGGTGCCCGCTGTGCGAGGTGGCCACTGAGGAAATCTGGGGCAACGAGCTCTTGGTGGAAGGCTTACTGCATGAGGGCTTTGGTTCCTCGCTCTCCTGTCTTCCCTTGGGGGTGCCCTCCGGCTCAGTCTCCGGAGGCCTGCTCAGAGAGGCCTGTCTCACCAAAAAGCACTTCCTTCTCTCTGGCAGGGCGGCCGGGGTGGCCGGGGCTGCTGGAGCCACCGGGGCTGGCCCAGAAGGGCCTGTCAAGGACAAGCTGCCATAGTCGAATGATTTGCTGCGTGTCTCAGTCATATGGGCAGAATGGGAAATGTTGGGGCTCTGCTCTGAGGCTGACCTCCGCATCTCTCGGGCGTGTGGGTGGTGGCTGGGGACGGTCAGCATGTGGGTGCCCAAGGGTTTGGGGCGTGGGTCGGACGAGAGCCCGGGGGCCTCAGCTTTTCCGTGGTCATCCCTCTCGAAGGAGGCGGAGCGGCTGGACCCGCTCAGAGAGACACTGCTCTCCTGGCTGGGGCTGCGAGACAGGGGTGCGGAGGACTCAAAGCTGGACTCCCCCGATGACTGGGCCATCTCCGCCAGGCGCAGCCTCTTCTTCTTGGGTGGCAGCTTCTCGGCCGGGAGCTGGGCAAGTGTCTGGCTGCGCTGGGGCCACTGGAATTCCTCCGTCTTCTCAGGTTCCTTAGGGGGCGGCTCGGGCTCCGTGTCTGGCTGGTCGGGCTCCTCGGTCACCAGGATCTCGGGGACCTGAATGTTGGGCTGGCGGACCAGCCTGGGCTGCAGGGAGTGGGCTGAGCGTCCATGCGGGGCAGGCGGGGGAGAGGAGAATGGGGCTGGGGGCTTGTCTTCCCCTTCCAAGCCACTGGGCTGCTCCAGAGAGTCGGACTTCTCGAAGGAGCTGGTGTGCTGGATGACAGAAATTTCTTTGGATATGGTTCTCCTCTCCTTCCCTGATTCTAGACCAGACCCTGGCTTGGGAGTCCTTGGCTGGAAGCCCGTGGGTCCCTCCAGGGAGGGCACTGACTTACTCGGTTCTGCTGGTGACTTGGTGGACTCCAGGGGAAGGTTCCGAACAGCCTCGGACGGTCCGGGGCCGCCAAACTGACTTTTCGTGGACTCAAAGGCAGGTGGCTCCTCCTCGTCCCCAAGGCTCTTCTCTTTCCTCCTCTTCCTCAGCGGAGTGAGCTCCAATGTGGTCCCCAGTTTATAATGCATCATCTGGGGCCAGGGCTCGTGCTCGGCCTGACTCTTTTCGGCTTCTGGGGACGCGTGAGCACCCGCAGGGACGGGCTTCGTGATCTGAAGCTCCGAGCAGTAGTACTTCCTATGGGCCTCGTAGTTGTCCCTTTTCTTGTACCGAGCACCACATATGTTACATTCATAGATCACCCCTTTCGTTTTCAGACCCTTCTTGGTCTTTTTGGTGAGTTCGCTTTCCTTGGTTTCTGGCTCGTCTGAGGCTTTGGAGGCCGCGTCTTTGCTACTGGACCCCGGCTCCTCGGAACTGTACTCCCCTCCCAAAGGTAGTTCGATGGCCGGCTGGCGCTTGAGCATCCGGGGGTGGGAGGTAAACACGTGACTACTGCGGCTCAGGGCTTCAGAGTCGGTGATGTGGTCGTCGAAGGAGTAGCTACCTCGGAAGGTGTGGTGAGGGGTACTGAGGGTGCAGGTGGCAGAAGGCATTGAGTGGCTTCTCAGCAGAGGCACAGGGGGGGTGGTGCTGGGCGGGTGCTGGAGGCTCAGCAGTGATTGTTCGGGCTTGCTTGTCTTGTCGCCGTGGGACGACAGGGGCTCCCGGTAGAGGCTGGATTTGGGGGACTCCATGCTGCTGCGCCTGGACAGCGAGCTCCTCCTCGGCTTCACGCTGTCGATCTCGCTGGTGTCCACCACGGCCTCGTTGATGGTGATGAGCTTGGTGATGTGCTCGATGACCTGCGTCCGGGGCACAGACAAAGGCACCAGGCTGGGCTTGTCTTCGGAGGACAGGGGCAGGAGGGGCTGGGTGGAGGTGGCCGTCAGCATGGCCGTCCGCTGCCCGATCCGCCCGCACTTGCCAAAGATGATCTCGGCGTAGGACCTGGCATTCGTGTTCGGGGGGCTGACCTGCTGCTCGGCGCTCTCAGAGCGGGAGAAATACCCAGATTCTGTGCTCCCTTTGCTGCCTGGGCTCAGAAACGCCTGCTCGTCCATCACCTTCTTCCTCTCACTCAGGCGGAGGGCCAGCTTCTGCTTTATGGTGTGGGTGTCTTCGGGTTTCTGGCTCAGGGGGTGTTCGGATGAGGGTTCCGTGAACGGAGCAGGGTCCTCGAGCGACGGGGCCGAGCTGGACTGGGACAGGGAGCAGCGATCGTGGCTGGAGCCCTGGCTCCCGGAGCTGTACAATCCGCTGGACAGGAGCGGGTGCTTGGGCCTGGGGGAGAGCTCTGCGGGGTGGGTGGACGTGGTGCCTGTTTCGTCCTCCGAATCTGTGCTTTCCCCCTCGGTGGGCTCCTCGAACTCCTCCCCGGGGATCCTCTCCATCTCCAGCCCCGGGGGGTACATCTCGCCACCCACTCCCGAGGCCAGGCCGGCCTTGATGCGGTGGGCATGGGACTTCCTGTGCTTGTACAGGTTACTCTTGGTCTTGAATGAGAAGCCACAGGGGCCGCAGGGGTAGGGCCGCTCGCCCGTGTGCGAGCGGATATGCTTCTGGAGCACGCTGGGCTTGGCGCAGGGCCGGCTGCAGTACTGACATATGTACTTGCCTGGCTTCTGCGGTTTCCTCTCCTTCTTGTGCACCTCTTCTGGGGGCTTCAGGGACACCTGGGAGGGACGGGGCACGAAGACTTTGGGGATGCCAGGCAGGTCCTCGGGGGGGATGATGGAAGCATGGGAGGGGAGGAGCTGGCTTGGCGGATGGAGCCCAGGGGTCACGAAGGAGCTTGAGGGTCCGGGTCTCATGGGGTCGACCAGCTGCCACGTGGACCCCTCCAGGAGATGCTCCGGTTTGCCAGGCGACATGAATGCTGGTGTCAGAGGGTGCTGCGGAAGCTGGGAGATGGGGACGGAGGTGTCAATGGAGGACCTCTTGGAGGGCTTCTGCTGCTGGCCGGTTTTCTCCTGAGAGCCTTCCCTAAGAACCGACGGGGGGCCCGGGAAGGGCTGCGGGGCTAGGAGCTCTTGGAGGGGGCCCTCTTGGGTGGCGGCCGTGCTGCCACCTGGGTACGGGGTGCTGGACGCAATGCTGGCCTGCACGGCCTCTCCTTTGGTCAGCCGCTTCCGGGGACTTCCCTCAGCCTTCTTGGTGCCCTTGACACTTTGTTCAGGATCCATGACCTCCACAGAGACTTCAGATGCTATTCAGGGAGGGTTGGGGCAGGCTGCATTTATGAATAATCCAAGTGTCCCAAGGAGGCGTCTGGCTTTGGCCACATTGGTCAAGAGTTACGGAAACCAAACCCAAGATGGGCTTTGGGAGGTGGTTTTTTTTTTTTTTTTTTTTTTTGCAAGTGTCACTGGCTGCGAGTGGACTCAGAGCAGGTCATCGGGGCCCAAACTATTCACATTGGTGAGGCATGGCCCTCTACTTTGAAGACAGAAAACACACCGGCACTTTCTGCCTGAATGTCTGTCGTGGAAACGTCATGAAGGACGTTGATGTCGCCATCATACTGTTTCAGTTGGCAGTGGCAAGTGGCCACCCACGAGTCCCCTGTGTGCTATGCGAACGGTCGGAGGCTAGAGACATCTGTATGCACGGCCCAATCATCCCCGGTCCCGGCTCTCGAGAAGCCACGCTGGAGCCTCGGGCAGCTCTGTCGGGTCCCTTCTCCCCTTTGGTCCCGGGATGGAGAACAGCGGCCGCTGAGGGAAATTCACGCTCTTCTACTTGATGAAAGCACACACGCGCACACACACACACACACACACACACACACACACAAGAGAAGAGAGAGTTACTGCGATTTGTCCATGACCCGTGCAACTCAGTCTCTGTGACACACAGTGATGTCCCTGAAAGATTAACCAGGGAGACTCAACCCAAAGTCACAGCCCCCCACTCTCTGCACCTGATCATGGCCTGAACCTCCCTCACCTGCATTCACAGGGGTGTTGGGTGCCCAGAGTGCCACCTGCGGTTCTGAGGACTGTGGCTGTGTGGGGTGGTAGGAGTGGAAGGGGAGGGAAGGCTCTGGGAACTGCAGGACACTTGGGGATGGGAGACCTCAGCTCTGCCCTGAGGCAGGTCAGCTCCCGAAGGCTCGGTTGCCCAATCCATACAATGGGGTAACATCAAGTCCTGCCTCAACTGTGCCTTGGGGCTTCAATGGAGTCCAGCAGGACAATGGCCATGGATGTCACTGGACAGATGTGGGCTCGTCCTACAGCTGGTGCAGGAGGAGGTGCGGAGGTGTTATTCAGGGATGAGCTTTCCAAGGGATAGATTATTTTCAGGTGACTCTTCTTCTTTCTCTGACCCTGGGCTCTGAAGGTAGCCATGAGGGGCACCATTCATGGTTTTATCCTCCTTGCTAACCCAAGCCCATGTTTCATGGAAAAGCTAAAATCACCACCCCAGCCTGTGCAAACTCACAGTCTAACACAGCCGTAGCTACTCTGCCAAACAAGAGCTGGGAGGATCATTCTGGAAGGTTCCTCCAGCTTTTCCTGGCAGCCAAGGAGGAGAGGGAGATGTGGTCCATCACAGAGCCCTTAGAGCCAGAGAGGAGGAAATATCTAAGTTCTTTTCAGGAAGCAAAGTCTTGCTTGCAGAGAACCTTTTCATGTGGCACTTCACACGGGGCAGTCAATGGTGCACGAGGTCACCCACGTCTTCAAATGACAGCCCTCCAGCAAATGCAGCGACTGACTTTTGTCGACAGAAGGTCAGAACTCGGCTATTCTTTGAGCAAGTCAAAGGCCTCCTTTAACGCAGGCAGAGAAGGCATCCTCACAAAGCAGGCCAAGGGTGGGGAAGGCTAAGGAATCTCATTCCCCATATTCCTGTCCGTAGGGTGGATACCAGATCATATCATCCGAACCGGGGCACTTTTGAGGGTGAAAGAGGCAGTACTAATAATTATGGAAGAGCAAAAGGAATAAACCAGGGCTGTCCCAGGCAAGCTGGAACAAATGGTTTCCTTACAATGAATATTTACCTTGTGACCCAAACCAGGCACAAGTGCTGTCTCTGGGCATCTGGTGAAAACTTTTCATCTTTGCTCTGGGAACTGAAATTACACCCCGGCCTCCTAGGGGATTCTTAGAGATGGAGTGTCTCATCTAATCCCCTCACTTGACAGATGAGGAGGTTGAGGCTAGAAGGATGATGTGATTTTCCCTCAAACTTCCACTGTGATGGTGGCAGGGTCAGACCACCCACTGCGTCCCAACCCCTGGCCAGGGCGCATCTCCTGCCTCAATGAAGAGATGTCCTCTAGGACTTCTGTGGCTCAATGGGTGCTGCAGTCTGCAGCTCCATGTTCTACCAAAGCACTGGCTTGGCCCCAAGGGGCATGGCCGTATCCCTGGAAAGCATCTGCAGGTGTCTAGAGGCGTGACAGCAAAGGAGGCCTTTCAACTTACATTCTAGACTTGCTGTGGCTTCTGGACAGGAGAAATGGGGGTCCCAGCTAAGGTTGAGGAGACCATGATGGTGGCATCACCCCCAGGCCTTGCTAAGCTAAGGTGGGACAAGGCAGGGGTCATTCGCAGTGCAGGGAGAGAACTGTTCTCTGGGCTGGTCCAGAACTTCTGGTGGGGGCCCTTGGGTGCCATGTATGAATAATAAGGGGTTTACTGTACTTACAATTTCTATTGACCCTTTCATTCAAGGATCTCAAAGCACCCCCCAAATACTAGCTAGTGGTAAGCTCTGCTCCTTCCAATGGACGGATGGGACCCTGAGACATGACTGAATCTGAGTAGGGGTCAGTTGGCCAACCCTACGTTGTTGGGTCCTGTGGTTGTCCCTTTACCCAGCCACAGGCTCTCCAGGGGCAGGTGGGGAAGCACCCAGTGGCTGAGGTTTGGAGCAGTTCACAGACCAGGAAGGAGGGGTGGGGTGGATGAGGAAGACAGGTAACTGTTGTGTCATCAGGTGACTCACTGGGCCAGCACCACGTGCCTAGGGTCAGCATCTGGCCTTCCCCTCCGTGGGCTGGGCCTGGTGCTTTTATAGGGAGGGCCCTCCTTCCTGAACCCTCTGAGGGAGGAGCAACCAGGATCCGTCCACACCATGGAGTCAGTGAGGCCTGTGAGCCGGAAGGCCCACGCCCTCGTTCTGCACAGAAGGCACCTGAGCCATGGCGGGCAATGACTAGTCCAGGGCCATACTCGTCCTCAGATTCCTGGGACAGTACTCTCTTCTGTCCTGCTCTACACCTCGTGACTGGGCCGAGGTTCTTAATACAAGAGGCAGCCAGAACTGTGGGTGCAGACATGGGGCAAACCTATGAGAACAATGAAGGCCTCAGCCTCGGAATGGATTGCGGTGCACACTGGTATAAATGCTTTCTTACTTTTTAACTCCTTTAGAAGGACGATTTCTAATCACTGTGACCAAGTGACACCCAGAGAGTGGTTTTTTTCTACCTTCTGTGCTTCTGAGGGTACGGGTATGATTTTCATATAAACTTGAAGTCACGGAGGACAAAGCTGCTTCTCCAGAAACTTGGTAAGGGCACCTGTAAAAGTCGCCAGGGACATGAGGTCAGAGGTAGAGGGTCTCCCTGACAGGGCCCAGGAGCCGGACCAACGGGGGCCTGAGCCTCAGGCCAGAGGGAGGACGGACACCATCTGCTGATGGTGGGAGAATGACCCCAGGCTCCATGTTGTGTGCCACTCAGGCCACAGCCTTCAGAAGCTCTGGCTTAGAAACCAGCTTAGAACAACAAGGAGAAACTGAGCTTCAAGAGCCAGTTGGTTAACACATCAGACAACTCAGCTTCTACTTCTGGAAGCTTCATAGGTCTAGCTGTCAGGATAGCCCAACAGGGAAGGGGGCAGGGTGCTGGGGCCAGAGACCCACAGAGTGTTAGAGTACCCTCTGCATGCTCGTGTGAGTGTAACAACAGGATCAATTCCTAGAAGGAGAGATACTTGGCTAAAGGGAAGGCACCTTGAAGCTTCTGATGGGTCTTGACAAAGAGCTCTCCAAGAAGCACCAATCTGCAGACCCCCCGGTTACGTGTGAGGACTATTTCTCCACACTCCTTCCTACCTAGAATATAACCGATCTCTTTCATATTTACTAAAATAAGAGGCAAAATGGCTGAATTAGTTTCCACCTGCCACTGTCACAAGCTGTCACAGACAGGGGCTTAAAACAACACAACTTACCATTGTACAGTTCTAGAGGTCAGAAACCCGAAGTGGGTCCCACTAGGCTAAAAGCAAGGTAGGGCTAGGTCCCCAACCTTCTTTCAGGAGCCTCTAGGGAAGAATCTATTTTCTTGTCTTTTCCTACTTTTAATTAATTATTTATTTTTTTATAAATTTATTTTTTTATTGGTGTTCAATTTGCCAACATACAGAATAACACCCAGTGCTCATGCCGTCAAGTGCCCCCCTCAGTGCCCGTCACCCAGTCACCCCCACCCCCTGCCCTCCTCCCCTTCCACCACCCCTAGTTCGTTTCCCAGAGTTAGGAGTCTTTATGTTCTGTCTCCCTTTCTGATATTTCCTACCCATTTCTTCTCCCTTCCCCTCTATTCCCTTTCACTATTATTTATATTCCCGAAATGAATGGGACCATATAATGTTTGTCCTCCTCCGATTGACTTATTTCACTCAGCATAATACCCTCCAGTTTTTTCTACTTTTTAGAGGCTGCCGGCCTCCTTGGCACATGGCCCCCTCCTTCTTCAAAACCAATGGCCAGCCACATCCTTCTCACATTGAATCATGAACACCGACTGCCCTGCCTCCCTTTTTCTCTTGTAAGGACTCTTGTAATGACATTGGGCCCACCTGGATAATCCAGGATCATCTCCTACCACCAGATTCTTAATTCAACCACATATGCAAAATTCAGTTTCCCACAAGAGGCAACGTACTCACAGGTTCCAGGGATTAAGACGTGTAGGGGCCATTATTCTGCACAGTGATATCTTATTTTTTATTAAATCTGTGTTTCTTGATCTCTAGGGAGGCTTATAACTCTGGAACAACTATTAATCCATTATTTCATTCAGGGAATTATGTTTCATATCCTTTGTTTATGTTTCTAGTAAATTATATTTTTCTTATTGGTTTCTTGTTGGTTTTCTTTTGATTTTGGGCATATTAATCCTTTTTGTATAATCTTTACCTTTTCTAACAGAAAAATTTTGTTTTTCTGAACAGAAAAACTTTGTTTTTATGTGGTCAAATGCATCATCAGTCTTTCCCTTTTGGACTTTTAGATTTCATGTCCAAGATAATTTTCTAGAATGTCACCCAATTTCTCCTAGTTCCTTTATGAATTAATTTTTTCCCTTCCTCCCTCTGCTCCTCCACCCCTTTGTTCATCCATTCTTTACTTCCTCCATCCTTCCCTCTCCTGCTTCTTTCCTTTCCATTGGATCTTGGCTCCATTTGGCATTTATTTTTGTGTAAGGAATGAAGTAGGGATAAAGCTTAATTTTTTCCAATGCACTTATCCAGTTTTCCTAACATCATTATTGAGACCACCTCCACTCTCCTGAAATGCCCTGGGACATTTTCTGAAAGCAAAGGCTCTAGCCCCATTCCAGATCCACCAAAAAAGAATCACTGAGGCAAGGGCCACAGGAGCCATATTTTTTACAAATTTCTCCATGTAAATCTAACATATAATTTTCTTTTCCACAGCCTGGCATTTGGGAAAACTTATGAAACTCTTTTAAGTGCTTTCTCTAACTAAT